GTTCCTTGTATAGATGGATTATAATTCTACTTTTAATTACAAGATTAACATTCTACTTTGTGCAGAGTCCATCCCATGCTCCAGACACAGAGTCAGAACAGATTCTGGCATTTGCATGCTTTATTGAATTCCCTTTCAAGGCATATGAAGCCAATGCCCTTCAATCTAATCTAGAAATCAGTACTGCAGCCTGTTGCCAACTGCTCCTGGTACAGGGGATGCCAGAGTTACTGTGACAGTCCATAGCTGCTACTGAAAACACACGTTAGCTGGCAAGTGCCAGCACTGCAAGAAGCTCTGAATGCTATGCCTTTCTGTAGCAGCTGAGTGCTGTGGTCCTTACCCCTCACACAATTCAGAGAAACCAGCCTATGAGTCTGGGTGAAGACACATGTGAGTGCTGCAACTGGTCACTGTTCCACATGTCTGAGGACAGTGACATCTGAGGCTGTCACTGCTCAGTTTCAGTGCTCAGTGCTGTCATGGGAGCCAAACAAAAATGATACAAGACCTATATGAGAGTAGTCACACTGCAACTTTCTGTCTTTCTTCATCCTCAGTTTAATAACATATAATAGACTAAGATCCATTCTGAATTGGTGCATGGCTTTTGCATTTTACTACTTTCTCCTTTCAGACAAGGATGTCAATGTTATTTATCAAAGCTATTGAACTACTTTCTGCTGACTGCACTTGCCCTTGTTTGTCCTTATCTTGTACTAACAAATTTGACTTTCTCACACTTTTCTTTTTTTTTTTTCTCCCAGGTTTCCAGATGGCTGATCCTTTCCTGTACAACACTGGGGAAAGATCTGGATATGGATGTCTTGGACATGAAGTGCAAATTGAGCACATCAAGGCATACATTTGCAGACCATCTTATTTCACAAACAAAGCCGTGATTGTGATTCATGATATATTTGGATGGATGTTCCCAGACAATAGATATATAGTTGATTTAATTGCAGGTCATGGATACATGTAAGCACTTATCATTCCTATTCTCCTCTTAATCAATGCACTGATAGGTCACCAGGCCCAAAGCTAAGCACTGTGTATGTTTTCCACACACCCATAGCACTTCGTGGCACCAAAGGTACTAAAACTAATCAGTCAAGAATGGCTATCTGAGCAAAAAGCAGCAAGGAATGTGATGGAGTGACAGTGTTTGTGCTCATGTGGCAATGTGGATAATTAAAAGATTAAAAAAAAAACCAAACATTAGTATGAACTTTTAAATTGTGTAAGCTTTTCAAACCAAACCTTTCAGAGTTCATACAGCAGCAAGGGGTTGCTTTAAATTTTACTAGCAAAGAGATAAATAACCATTCATTTGGAATCAGGAGGGTTGCTTTATTCCTTTACTTTTCTACTGTGTCTAAGGAAAGTAGAAGAGTTTATTTGCATGTGGTTTTTTTTTTCCATAGCAAGACATATAATTTTAGCTTTGCTGATTGCCAGAACAGGATAAGTAGAATATGATTCAGATGATAACTGTGTAGGTGTACACCCTGGAGTAGAAAAGACATTAGAAGTCATTTAGATATCCACAGATTCTCCCCACCTGGACATAAAAGTTGATTTGTTTCTATGTCTTATGCAGAACCATCTGCCCAGACTTCTTCAAGGGGAAGGACCCCTGGAAAACTACAAATCACTGGCATGACTTTGCTGACTGGATGAAAGAACATGACCCTATGAAAGTAGACAGGTAGGATGCATAACTGTGCTTGCATTTTAAAAAGCATTTTGCAAACAAGGGGAAACTGTATGTATCTGAAATGTTTAAAGTGACCCTCACAGCAGGGCAAGCTGGCTGCATGCACACAATTACTTTATTCTGTGTGGTTCTTCTGTGGTCCCAAGCACTACCCTGGGATTTGGAAATGGTCATCTGCTCCATCTATCATGCTGCTTATTGTCCCCTCCTCACAGACCCTTTTCTAACTACGTCACACTGGCTGCACAGGCCCATACCTGGTGTCTCACAGGCTATGAAACACCTAGAACTCTCACTCATTAGCATGGATACTGCTTCCAGGTCCTTAGGATAAGGAGGAAAACTCTTCCACAAGTACACATGCTATCTACCAGTTGTCACTTGCCCATCTTTCTTTCTCCCTTGTAAATGATAGATAGCTGATACTCTCCTGAGCAGTACTAGGTCAGAATTTGCAGAATTTGCCCAAATACTCGTCTGATCAACTATGCTATTTTTCTCAATATGTGGAGTGGCCACTACCTGTAGATCCTAGCAAAGCCAGTAAAAAAAAAAAAAAAAAGCTTCCATAAATTAAGGCAGGCATTACTGCTTCTTCAGTACCTGTTACCACAACCTGAAACTTCAGAGAACAACAGACAGTGACACCCTATTACTCAGCTATCATCTTGTAAGCCACAAAGTGTTTATTTGGCCCCTGCAGCACTCGTGGCCCAACCAACATCTCTCAGCAAAGCTTTTGACTGTACAGTTGCAGAGCTGTGACTGAAATTTTGGAAAAGACAAACGACTAATACCTAGAAGAATTCCTACTCCAGACAACTGTCTTAACCATTGAACACCTGAAGAACATAGCTGTGTTGTCTACTAAGCGTTGACTTGTAGCTGCCCTTAAGATCTCTCAGAGCACCAGGAATCCCACATACTCATGACTTACGTTATACTATCTCAAATAAACCAGAGCTGAAAGAACTCATTCATTCATAACATGCTGCTCTTACAGCCCTTGAACATGATCTGCTGATCATGGCACTTTCATACTGCTTTTTTGTCAGACTATCCACATTTGTGATAGACATACTAATATACCTAATCCTTGAAAATACGGTTATTAGTGTACGCAGTCTGCATTTAAAATTCACTTCAAATTTTGTAGGTAATGAAAAAGATAAAAACATTACCCCCATGAAGTTAGTAATAAAAAATTAATTTAAAAAATTAATTTAAAAAGTGACCTGCTCTGATCTATACAATTTTTTGTATTTAATTCATTATACCTCATGCAATACTCATTTTTGAAAACATTGTAGCTGGTGATATATTAATGTTGAGTAATTATTATTTAATATAGTAATTTTGTATGTGGCTTGGTTGGATATTATTAACTCATGCAACAGGAATGACACACTCGAGATAATTCCTTATCTAAACAGGTAGACTCAGTAGAGATAACACATTCAAGCTCATCTATTCCCACATTCCATAATGCAAGATGTTGTTCTGCTTGCAGATATGTCTTGTCTTTAGTTGTCCTGTCCTAAACAAAGTGATTCAGTGAAAAAATGCTTCTTTTGAAAACAAAGGAGCAGGTCACAATTCAGGTAAGTATTTAAGAACTACAACTGTGTATGGCTACTTCCCTAAATTAGGACCAGAAATGTTAACTCACATTCAAGAATAGAAGCCATTGCTTTTTAATGTACTCTCTGTTTTAAGTGATTGGAGGTGCAGGTGCAGAAAATTTCATCTATCTCTTTCAATTTACTTCTTAAGCAGTCAAATATTGATTATGCTATAGATCCCTTAGTTCTCTTTTGTTTATATGTCTTAGGGAGGCTGATGTTGTCTTGAAGTATCTAAAGGAACAATGCGATGCAAAGAAGATTGGTATCGTTGGGTTTTCCTGGGGTGGAATGGCAGTACATCACTTGATGCTGAAAAATCCTCAATTATCCGCTGGGGTGTCCCTCTATGGTAGTGTAGAAATGAAAACTTACATGAGCTCACATCATTATATGTAGTTTGTAAGTTCTAGTTACTGCTTTGTAGTGTTTTCTGTAAGTACTCAACTTAAAGGTGAGTCGAAAATGTTAATTATGGCTGTTTCAGCAATGTGCTATATTGCTATCAACATTATAAGACTACTGTGAATTGAAAAAAAAAAAGTGTTTCCTGTGCATGTACATTTTCTAATATTTTTTCAGTGCTTGGGGAGAATGTACTGTTTTCCAAACGCTCTTTTCATCCATCAGAATAGAAACTCTCCTCAAGTAAAAAAAGTATCTAACAAATAAACCTAAATAGAAATTTTGTCACAGAATTTTTCATTCATCTTGCAGGAATGATAACCTCACTAACATTCTTTTCCTCATATAGGAATAATAAGGGACTCTGAAGAAAGATACAATTTACTAAATCCCACGTTTTTTATATTTGGTGAGAAAGACCATACTATTTCTTATGACCAGGTAGGTTGTATTAGAAATGATTTTTATTTTTCCATTCTTCGTCTATCCTAGAGAGAATTCCTAGCCTGTCAGAAACCATTTTCAGATATGAAAAATCACATAGGCTGGATTGTTTTGCTTATATTTCAGCTTACTTCCCCCATATCTTGCTCAGGTTATTTGGAGCTTCTCTTTGAGTTGAGAAATGCAGTAAAAATCTATTGTTGGTCTCTCAGTGGCTATGCAAGCAGAGTGTGAAACCGGGCAAGAAGATCCTACTTATATGAACCAAACACCTCAAGAACTTGGATACTGCAGTCATATATGGGACAAGAGATAGTTAGATGACTGAATTTGGACCATCCTTGAATGGAAAAAAATAGTGTCAGCTCAGTGACAAAACTTTCTAATGATGTAGACGGATGACAATTGCTTTTGTTGTACAGCAAAATGAGAAAAAGCAACTGCTTTCTTAAGTGTTATTACTAAGTTTATGAAAATATTTAGGACTGTGAATTATTAAGACTTAGGCAATGTGTTTTCTCGGGGAATATGTTCTCTCAAGATCAGAGTTTAAAATCAGGTTATAAGCCATGTTATGCCTCTGAATAGAAGTGCACCTATTCATTTACAACAATATTCACCAAGCCATCTTAGCAGTAGCTGCTGGGGGTACTCAGGCACACCCATATTTTCGAAAACCATTTCAGTCTCACATTCCAAAGAGGGATTTTCTCATGTACTGAATAACAGAATCCACTTCAATTGTGATAATGGAGAAAGAGCAAGGATGTGATTAATGGCAAGTTTGTCAAACTTAAAAAAACACAGCCTAACAGAAAAATGCTTTATTTTACAGATTACCTTATTGGATGAGAAGTTGAAACAGTACTGTAAAGTTCCATATAAAATTAAAGTTTATCCTGGACAGGTTCACGGGTTTGCACAACTGAAGCCAGAAGATATGAAACCTGCTGATAAGCCTTATATTGAAGAAGCTAGAAAGGATATGGTTGATTGGATCAAGACATTTATTTGACAAAAACATAAAGGAACACTGGCTTCAAAATCAGAGTTCAATTGAATTTTAGAGAAGAAAATGGTCAAGAGGAAGATGGATAGAAACAAGGAACAGAAACAGTTTAACTTACACTAATTTATTTTTTGCAAGGCTTACAGAAGATTGTGAACTCAAAGTTGGACTGAAGGACCATTAAGCATTAAAGCACTGTTTGAATTTATCTTGATTTGTATTTGTTTCATTATTCTACATTATGACATCAACAATAATGAAACTGTTTTGCCATTCATGTGTCCTAAAGGGTATGACTTTTCATTCTGACATTACCTGAGTATTTTCAGGTTTTATTTTGGTATGAGAATTCTTAGTTGCAGGTATTAGAATAGAACCACACTAAGTTTGCGTGAAGAATATTTTTATTACCTACAATGCATTTGTCTCAGAGATAGTGATTGCTGTAGTCATCAAAATTCGCATTCATGAAATGAACAGTTGGCTGTGTTAAGGACTTAGGAGGGAATGATGCTGTTTGGCAACCTCCAGGAATTCCATTAGCTCTGTTAAAAAAAGCACTTCCAGTATTGCTTCATTGACATCAAGGGAAAACATAGACAGCCCCTCCAACTGTGAAAGTAAGTCAGGCATGAACATTGTGGAAACAGTGAGTTCAATGAGCTGCTCCAAGATACAATGATCAGGGACAGGGCTGACCAACAGGCAAACCAGGTAAACAAACAAACAAAAATATAAACAATAATAAACATTCCTGTTAACTTTTACTGCACTGATTCCGGTTTTGCTGACCAGATGACCTTTTTTGGGGGGTATTTTGAATTTCACTGCCTCGGCAATAACTGGGTAGTTTGTGCTTATTCAGAGATCCTCAAAGTCTTCATCTCTTCTTATTTTATTTTCTACAACGTTTGCCAGTTTCTCACATGATTACCTTAACAAGGTCCATAAATCAAGGCCACCATCTGCGTGGATATTACTTTCCCTCTGATAGCAAGAAGGTCTGGCAGTTTCACAGATTGCTGTGCTCTCGACCTAACTGTAATGTGTGCCATTTGTCTGCATACCTCAAGATGAATTTGTTAGAACATATCGCTACAATGTGTGTAGTCAGAGATGCTATAAGTGGCATGAAGCTCAGCTCTTGGGTTGAGTTGACCAAAGTATGCTTGCTTTTCTGTCTGCTGTCAGTGTGTCCATCTTGCATTTTGGGCAGCTGTATCAATGGAGGTATTGCCAAAGAGATGATAAGCAAAGATGGGAAGCAATGGAGAACATTCAATAGCTGCAGGAAAGAAGGAAACATTGGAAAAGACCGCTAAGATCATCCAGTCCAACCATTAACCACCGTGCCCACTATCCCATATCCCTCAGTGCCACATCTACACATTTTTTGAACACCTCCAAGGACGGTGACTCCACTGCCTTCCTAGGCAGCCTGTTCCGATGCCTCACCACTCTTTCCGAGAATAATTTTTCCTAACAACCAACCTGAACCTCCTCTGGTGCAACTGAAGGCCTTTATCTGTCATTCTATCCCTGTTACTTGAGAAAAGAAACCAACCCCATCTTGCTACAGGCTCCTTTCTGGCAGTTGTAGAACGTGATAAGATCTTCTCCGAGCTCCTGCTTTTCCAGACTGAACAATCCCAGTCCTCTCAGCTGCTCCCCATAAGAGCAGCGCTCCAAACCCCTCACAGCTTACTTACCCCCTCTCCCCCCAGTGCTCCGGATCCCTGCAGCCGATGCAGTCTGACCTGTTCCGCTCTTGTCTCCATTCATTCCCGGCTGCCCTCATCCTCCCCTCCCCTGAGCACAAGGATGGAGCTTGCAGGCAGCGCAGAAGCTTCTCTCCAGGTCTTCAAAAATTTAGGCTGGGCTCCTCACACCTGCAGGACAGGGAGGAGTAGCCCAAGAGAAAGGAGGTGCTTTTAGTACACGGAGCGGGGCACCCTAGCTCAGGTTAAGTCCCGGCGATGGCTACGGGAGCTGGCTTTACAGCGCTGCTTTACGAGCACGGCGCCTGCTACAGCCGTGCGTACTCCAGGAAACGTCCACAAGATGGGGCCCCTCTCCGTGGTCGTCATCAAGGAGGCCTAGGGGAGGTTTGGCTCAGGCTGAGGCAAGCGACGCTCAGAGGGGCCCGTGTCAAACACTGCAATAACAGTGCAGTGCTTATCAGTGCTCAGCCGAGCTGCTGAGTGTTGTTTCTGAATGCAGCAACGCGCTGTAGGATGCTGGATTTGAGTAAAGTGTGGATTTTCACCTCCTCGGGACTCTGAAAGAAGGAGCCCTGGTTGTGCTACATCATCATGACACCTTGTATTTCGTTATGCGTTGCTGAATGTTTGTTATCTGGAAGATTAGCTTATCTCCAGCATGCAACAAAATCAAATCGTCTTGGGACATCATTAAAGCTTGATAAGCCAGTAAGTTGCAGGAAGCATGCTTTTGATTGTGCCCCAAGGGCATTCTGTTTGTGCTTGCTCATCCTCAGTGTGAGCTTTCTTCTCATGCAAATATAAATAGTAGTATGCTGACCTACTGAAGCAAATTGTAACCATGTTAAATGGCATTAGTTCCAGTAGCTGAGTTTGTCTTACAATTCTCTGTCATATAAACTTGTTTGGCCAAATAGTGCAAAATCACATTAAAATGACTCAGCAAACTGGAACACAACTGAGGGAGGACAGACCTTATGCAACCCAGATACATTTATTTGATGAAGCAGCTTTGAAAGAACAGCAAACTGCAAACCCAAACCTCTTCCACCCAGCATCACCAGCACTATGAAAGGCAGGAGGAACATCTGCTACAACCAGCTCTTCTGCAAACCATTCTTCCCAGTTTCGTTTCTGATGTTCTTAGCATGCGGGGATAAGAACTCACTGGTGAGGAGATGGGGAGGTGCCACTTTGACACTGTTCCAAGGAGGAAGCAGGAAAAGGGCTTTCAGAAAGATGTTTCTCAGCAACGGGAAAAATAAATGGAGGGATGAAGGAGGTTGCTGGGAGACAAAATGAGAGCTGTTTAAGAGCGTTTCTGTGTTGATACTGTGTTGGTAGTGTAGCCTCAGGCTCTCGGCGGGGTGGGATAACAGTCTAGATGTTGTGCAGTGGTCTCAGAAAAGTAAACTGATCAGTCTGTTAGCCTAAACTGAGTCTTACCAAAATTGTTTGATTGTTTTGTTTTTAGAGGGGCCAATTTGATAGCTTAACTCCTGTAGCTGGGGAGAGTGAATCAGGACAATGGAAATGCCAGATTTGGGCAGTAAATACATCATATGTGGTCTTGATGAAAGTGTGATGAAGTTTCTCAAACTGTGAGACTGTACAGTATTGTATAGAGAATAATTTTTTGAATAAAAGTGAGACATACAGTATTGTAAAGTCATGACAAAATTCACAGCTCATAAAGCTTTGAAAGAAAAGTCGAAGAGAGATGGCAATGCAACTAATTTCTTTGGTGGAGATCAAGTCATTACCTGATAGCACAGAATCACAGAATGGTAGGGGTTGGAAGGGACCTCTGGAGACCATCTAGTCCAGCCCTGCTGACCACACAGTGCTCTACAGTGGGTTGCACAGGAAAATGTCCAGGAGAATGTTGAATATCTTCAGAGAAGGAGATTTCACAGCCTCTCTGGGTAGCCTGTTCCATATGCATCAGGCTATAGACACGTTTTAACTATTTTTTATGCAATTTCAGGAAGAACAGATCTCAACTACAAATACAAAGAGCTGACCAAAACTGCAGTTACAGTCAGCTTCCCTGAACAACCACCTCCCTCTCATTAGATTTGTGGTAGTAGAAATACACATGGAAAATCACAATACAGGTAATAAACAACGTCAATAATTTTGCATTCCTAAATTGCATTTTTATTTAAATGCATATTTCTCAGCAGTATCAGATAAATTCTACATTAAGAATGGTGTGGTGGAAACTTCTATTTTTTTTTTGGTGGTCTAATCACTGTATCTACCAATCCCTTTTGTGAACTGTTCTTCTGTACTTTTAAAATCTACATCCATGTCAGTTTAATTAACATTTCGTAGCATAACTTCACTGTCCTTAAAGGAATGTTAAGCATTTTGGCATGTTTCCAGTGGTAGAAACAAAGAATTTTGTCCTGTGAAAAGAGCATAACTGATATAAAGAACAGGATTTAAGGTAATTAGTTTTGATGCTCACTGTGCTTTCCTCATTTGGTCTTAATACTATTCTTATAATGTTAAAGATATTTATATCAGAGGGGAGGGTGTACTGGAGGCATATTAAAGGGCTTAGCTGAGATGTGTTTGAATTAATTAAAAAATCTAAAATAGGATTCATGATTGAGATATTTTCCTAGCAAAGAGTTAGACACTGAAGAGTGCATTTCATTTTTATTGCCTGTACATGCAGAGACCAAGGAATATTATTACAGTGCATGTATTCACACAGGAAGAGAGATTAGCTCTTGTTAATAAGCAACCAGTGCCATTTTGATTTGCTAGGAGTGGTAGCAGAATGACAATAAACAGAGGGCGGTGAAGCCCTAGCACAGCTGTACAGAAAAGATCTGTGGGTGCCCCATCCCTGGAGGTGCTCAAGGCCAGGTTGGATGAGGCCCTGGGCAGCTGAACTGGTGGGTGGCAGCCCTGCTCATGGCATGAGGTCAGGGCTGGGTGGGCTTTGAGGTCCCTTCCAATTCAGGCCATTCTATGATTCTATGATTCTGTAATTCTATGATTCTATAATTCTACGAAACAGCTATGAAACAGCTTCCCAAAGAGTTGTGGGCAAGAAGTATAAGTTGAGCATCAGAACATCAGAGCATATGTCTGCAAACCACAGCCAGCACAGATAAAGCTGTGATTGCGATTCGGGTTATATTTGGATAGCTTCAAGCTTAAAGAGGGTAGATTTAGGATATAAGGAAAAAGTCTTTTGCACTAAGGGTGGTGAGGCACTGGAACAGGTTACCCAGAGATGTGGTGGATGTCCTGTACCCAGAGACTTTCAAGGTGAGGCTGGATCAGGCCCTAGGCAACCTGATCTAGCTGGATGTGTTTAAGGCCAGGTTGGACAGGGTCCTGGGCAACCTGATCTGAATGTGTGTGTTTGGTGGCCCTGCTAGGCAGGGGGGTTGGAACTACATGATCCTTGAGGTCCCTTCCAACCCGGGTGATTCTGTGATTCTGTGATTCTGTGATTCTGTGAGGTGTCCCTGTTCATTGCAGGAGAGTTGGACTAGATGGCCTTCAGAGGTCCCTTCCAACTCTAAGGATTCTATGATTCTTTGATTCTATAATTTTATGTATGTTGAATATGGTATTGAATGTATATTGAATGTCATATGTACACCTGCCTTATTAAATACAGTCCTTTTCAGCCTTCCAAATTTTCATGGTCATTTTTGGTGCTCTATAGGAGTTAAATTCCAAAATGCAGCAGTACCTTATGATAACTGAGTATACTACAAGCTTCCTTGGTTGCTTTATACGATATATTAATGTAGAGTTGGGACTGGCCTCCAGTTCCAAAGAGCAAGGCTCTACATAACTGTGCAGCCATTAGTTTCATAAGATGTTGCCTCTAGTGGTTTCAGCCATTAGAGCATAACAGAAGTCAGATTTCAGCGGACAGTTTCCATGTGACTAAGATCTCTTTGTAAAGCAGAAAGGAGCTGAGAAACAAAGCGAAACAAAAGAACATGCTTTCAACACACTTTGGTTTGCCTTAGGCAAAGCTGATGCAATCATTTCATCACGATCCTGGAGGTACATACTGTGTTTCTGAGCAGGGAAGTGAGCCAAAGACAGTAAGTGAAAGACAACTGTGGTTTCCCAAGGATCCCATTGCTACCCTGTGGTCTGGGCTTGGCAGAACACATGAAAGTATCTGAGGGTGATCTAGTGATGGCAGAGCCAGCTTTTTTCCTTCTGCATGCCAACACTGTGCAATCCCCTGGTGGCTGCACCTTCCTGATTCTGCTGCTGGTCGTGCAACACATCTTAGCTGAGGTCACCCTGAGTCAGAGTTTGGCTTTCTTCACGGTGCAGGAACTATGTAGTACTGAGTGGACTCTTACTGTACTTCTCTTTTACCAGTCACTGAATGACGTCCGCAGTGAAACACTCAGTCCATCATCATTTTTTTAATTTATCAGTGAGGCTCATGATGTGCTCTGTAGTAAATAATTGTTTTCTGTAAATGCTTTTCTTTTTACAGAGTCCATTAATGATGGACTTGTGTGAAATGCTATAATGCAAAATGTATTGTTTTGTGCAACATGTTAAATTGTAAGCAGGACCTTGTTTTATCAATTCACCTGGAAACACTGAAAAAAACACATATAGGTGCTTAGAAATGTTTCCTAAAACATACAGATCTTTCTGTAGAATAATTATCATGGTATTTATATGTGATTTTCTCAGGGAAAAGAAATCAAAATAATATAATGACTTAGTAGAAGTATCTCATTGTATAAAAGGCCAAAAATTCATAGAGTTTGAAGATTTTATTTAATTTTGATTTTGTCTGTGTATGTTTGTACATGCAGAGCCATCTATCTAGTCTTCGCGGGAAAAAATGCTTGGAAGACTTCTGATGATTGGTCCAAGAACAACTGTCTCAACAGTGGCTCAATGAAGACTTATATCATATGATGTTGATATCATAGACTACTAGTTGCTTCCTCTGCCTCAAAAACTACGGTTTAAAATGGCCAGTGACACAAGAAGTGAGAAAGCATGATTGTAACTGTGTAACTGGTACTCTAAGATGTGTGGAAAGAAGATAAGGGTAGTTGATTCCAGCTCTGAACAGTGTCCCTGGACCCAGGCAGCTGACATCTGGGTCATCTGTTCTCAGCATCTCTTATCTCACATTGCTCCTGCACAGGGGCAGGGCAGGCCCCTCAGAACTGACTTGGGCAGGTCTGAAGTCAAGCTGGGAATGTGAATCTGGAAGCAGGAGCAGATTCAGAGATGTTAACCATTGCAAGGGCCAACCAGGAAGCTCCATAGTGATGTGGCAGGGCTGAGACTAAGCTTGGAGGACAGTCTGTGGGTTCATTACCCAGAGGCAGCCATGGCCGGCACAGGGATGGCTGCAGCACAGGAAGAGCTGTAGCTCAGGCAAGGCCAAGTGGCAGAGTCTCAGCTGAAAAGAAGATCCCATGGCAGACAGGGTCTGAGGTCACTGCATAGTGCTGCCCAGGAGCCTTCCCCTTGGTCCCTGAGGGAGTGGAGTAGCCCACAGCTGTGATCCCTCCAGGTCAGCCCTCAGCACTTGCCAGGAAGCCCCTCAGGGGAGAAAGGATATGTGTTCAGGTGCCTGACTGCAGATATGGCATGCAGTCTTCTTTTCACTGTGAGGAGTTTTTAAGACTACGTTTGCTGTAATTCCAGTCCATGGTGCATTGATTGACTTGAACAAAATGTTAATTTCAGACAGTGTGTCCGAAGAGTCCTCTGCTAGTGCCTTAGAGTCAAACTTTTGGCCAAACGAAAGGTACAAGGCTGTGCACACATGCAGACAGTTTGTCCTTGCAGTTAGAGAGATCGAGTGTATCTTCATTAGCTCCTAAAAATGTTATCTTGGTACCGCTGCTGAAGAAACACGGTTAATTCCAGTTCAGTCCAGCTGGAACATTAAAATAATAGGCAATTACAAAAGGCTGCTCTTCACTGAAAAGCTTTTGACACTGTTTATATACCAGGCATGGTCTGTTGAACCCAGGCTGCTATAGGATGCTGAGCTCCTTTCCCAAGCAAAGGTGTTTTTGTCTCTGCAACTTGAACAAGAGTCTTTAAACCCTGGTGTAGATGTAGTGCCCCACAGTCATGTGGCTGTTCCTATGGTAGATGACTGTCATGTCTTCAGTGAACAAGTTTGCATTGGGACCATTGCAAAATAGAAGCTAGTGCATAACACTTGAAGTAGTCAGTGAGGAACACAGCATAAGCAGTTGTCTGTACCTGCCATGGCTCCTATTAGCTTGGGATTTAACCTGCTCTTTGATTTTAACTTGTTAGTGCTAGCATGTGAAGTGTCCTGTTACAATCTCCTGAAGAGATCAGACCTATTCCTCTCACACGTTCAACACTGTCCAAACATTTCATAGAATCACAGAATTGCAGGGTTTGGAAGGGACCTCAGGAGAATAATGAGTCTTCTAAAGCAGATACCCTACAACAGGTCACACAGGCAAGTGTTCAGACAGGTCTTGAATATCTCCATAGAAGGGCATTCCACAACCAATCTGGGCAACCTATTCCAGTGCTCCATCACCCTTACTGTGAAGAAGTTCTTTCGCATGTTATTACAGAACATCCTATGTACAAGTTTTAGGCCATCATTCCTTGTCCTATCACTGCACATCCCCAAGAAGAGCCTGGACTCATCCATTTGCCTCTCACCTCCCTTTAGATATTTATAAATATTTATGAGATTCCTTCTCTGTCTTCTTTTCCCTAGGCTGAACAGACCCAGGTTAGTCAGCCTTTCCTCGTACAGGAGATGCTGCAGGCCCTTAATCATCTTTGCAGCCCTCTGCTGTACTCTTTCTAGGAGATCCCTATCTCTTTTGAACTGAGAAGCCCAGGACTGGACACAGCAAACTAAATGTGGCCCCCTGAGGGCAGAGAAGAGGGGGAGGATCACCTCCCTCAATCTGCTGGCCATGCTCTTCATAATGCACCCCCATGGATCCCACTGGCTTTCTTGGGCACACTGCTGGCTCATGATCAGCCTGTTGTCCACCAGGACCCCCAGGTCCTTCTCTGCAGAGCTCATCTCCAGCAGGTTATCCTCTAAGCTGTACTGATGCATGCAATTATTCCTCCCCAAATGCAAGATTCTACGCTTGCTCTTGTTAAACCACATCAGGCTCCTTCCTGTCCAACTCTCCAGTCTGTCCATGTCTTGTTGAATGTCAGCGCAGGCTTCCAGTGTGTCAGCCACTTCTCCCATCTTTGTATCGTCAGCAAACTTGTTGAGGGACTCTGTCTCTTCATCCAGGTCATTGATGAAGATGTTGAACAGGACCAGACCCAGCATCAACCTCTGTGGAACTCCACTTATTACAGACCTGTGGGACAAAGACACTATGAACAAAAGACCTTCAAAATGAGTAAACAAGCTTGGTAGCTATTTGCGCCAGATGTAAATACACACAAGGCGCCTGGCTGGTACATGTGACCAAGTGGTTGTTATGGGGTATAAAAAGCACCTAAAGTATATAAAAGCACCTACAATAAATGTCTTCATTCTGCACCAGCAATGGAGTTTGTGGCTCGCCTGCCACTCAGGCCTCCAATCAGACTCTGCACCACTGATGACAGTTGACTGAGCTCTGCCAGTCAGACAGTTCTCAGTCCACCTCATGTCAACTTATTTATCCTACACTTTCTAAGTTTCATAACAAGGATGCTGTGGGAGACTGTCAAATGCCTTGCTGAAATCAAGGTACACAACATCCATTGCTCTTCTCCCATCTACTTATTCAGTGATGGAAGGCTACCAGGTTGCTCAAGCATGATTTCCCCTTGGTGAATCCATGTTGAGTGCTCCTGATAACTGTTTTCTTTTCCAGTTGCTTGGAGAGGGTATCCAGGACAAGTAATTCCACTACCTTTCCAGGCATGGAGATGAGGCTGACTGGCCTTTAGTTTCCCAGATCCTCCTTGCCCTTTTTGAAGACCTGAGTGACATTGGCTGTCAAAGACCTTCTGTCTCTAGCAGAGATATTCTGCTGCCTTAATAACACAGAAGGGCAAGACATTGCCAAGACAATACTGTGAAGGGGCCAAACTAATTAGATACCAAGCTGATTGACTTACTGGGAGACCAGATCTCTTTCTTAATCTGTTAGAAGTAGCTATATTGAAAGTTGCTAGGTTTAGGTATGTGGTGAGAAGGTTATGGGAGACATAGCTGAATCAAATCCAGAGAGCTCCTGTCTCAAAGGAGTCAGTTGTTGTGGAAACTTTTTAGTTTGGAATCTGTACCCACTCTGCTGCAATGGGAAGGAAAGGTTGTGCTTTGCCTGGCATTTCTTACTGACAGCTCACATGTTTCAAATGTCAGCTCCAGTGAACAAAATTTTTTGGCATTTAATTTGTATGTATGTGTTGGCAGATAAGTTGATATTTGCAAGGCTAATGTATCGTGATCATAAACAGATTGCATGCCCAGGGGAAAGGGGCTGAAAATAGTCTCGAGGTGATATAAAATGCTACTCTGATACCCCTCTCCCACCAGTACTTTCTCTTTACTCTGCCTGCATGTTGAAACCTACTTCTGGAGTAAATGCTTTCTGAGTACAGTGCCTGGGTAAGGTGTATTTCAAATGACAGTGTGAATTCTCAAAGCATCTTCCAAAAGCATCCTATATGTTGACTTTCCTGCAGTAAAATATCTCTGATGCTAACTTACAGTTACTGTCAACATTTTGACTTTCTAATAAGTTATGCTCACTGGAGAGGCATTTATTTCTTTTTCTGTCTGGATGAATAAAACAAATATTCATTCAGCTCTTCAGAGAATTTCAAGCTTTTTTACCTCTTAGGAAAGTATTTAATCAATCATCCATTCCATCTATTCTTTTTGGTGCATGTTATCCATGCTGTGTTTTTATTTAATTCCATTCTTTTTTTTTTTTTTTTTTTTTTTTTTTTTCTCTATTGGATGATTTCAAGTTAGCAACCCATAATATTTACCTGAAGTAATGATTTATTTAAAGTGTATGAAAGAAAATATGGTAGGAACATGATCTGGGGATGCTTATACATCTTTATCTTCTCATATTTTCCAGTACTGGTTTTACTATGGGTGATTAATTTGGCTTTGCTTATGTTCCAGAGCAGCTGATGCTGTCCTGATGTACCTAAGGGAACAGTGTGGTGCAAAGAAATTAGAAGTTGGTTGTTTCTGATGGGGTGATGATGATGACATACCCCAAACTGAAGGCTGATGTAAATACAAGGATGCAATACAAGCAGGCACATGTACACATATGTGTTGTGTAGCTTATGTACTTGATCCACCAGTATTTCTTCTAATTATATTCTCGGTTGACGATGAGAGATATTTCCAGTAAAGTAGGAAAGCTCTTATGCAAAGAAGACGGTGATAAGGAAATTTTCCTAGATTCAGAATGAATCATAGGAGCTGTGTCTTTATTTCAGGTTTGGACAGACAGACAGACATGCGATTGGGTCATCTTCCCAACTCTGCTCCATTTTCCTGTTTCCTAATGTTTGGCAACTGCACACTGCAGAGCTAGGATGTCACCCTCATGCAGACAGCATTATTTTTGATCCAGTTACTCTGTACAGCTGGACTGTGGTTGTTTAACATCAGCTTTCCTTTTACACTCTTCCCAAGAAGCTGAGATATTTAAGCTGTTCTTTGCTACTGTACTCAGAATGTAAATTTTTGAACTGCTTGATGGGGACTTTCCCCATCAATTCAAAAGAACCCAACATTCAGATTTCAGTCAGTAGCTTAAGAAACTGACTTAGATAAAATGTTAAGCCTGGGCGGTGTCCTACTAGAAGCCATATTTACAGTAGCTTGACAAAAAGCTGACATTTATGGATAGATACTGCATGAGATATGCAAACTTTTCATTGCATAAACAGGGTGCTGCACTTGAATTTGAATTTCACTTTAAAAGTCAATTGAAGATTTTTAAAAATATTTTCTAAGAATAATAAAGGATTCTGACAGTGATCCATCCTGCTGAACCCTACATTTTTCATTTTTGATGAAAAAGATGACTTCATTCCCCTCCATCAAGTATGCTGACAACTTCTGTCTTCTTTCATTTGCATGTTTAAATTTCCCTCCTGAATTATGAGTTGATGCTCAGCTTCGTAGTAATATTTGAAAATGTATTAAAAAAACAAGAGCAGAAAAATGGAGCCAAACATAAAAGGATTAATGTAACCTAAGATAAGAATGGTTTTTTTCTTATGTCTTTATTTTGCCAGAGTATTGCCAGTAACTCAGTACCAAAGTTGTATGAAAATCCTGTTGCTGTGCACTCAGGGAACACTTCTGTTCTGGATGACTTTTGTTTCTATTGGCCTTGACATGGTTCTTTTTTCAGACTTCACAATGAAGAAAACGTGTAGAAGTGATGTGTAGGAACTGTTGAGTCACAGCCCGAACCTCCGATTGATCACTTGAGGCAAACTCTGGGTCAGCCCTGGGAGCACAGGTGAAGGCAATAAAGCTGTGTGACCAGAAGGGGTGGAGCTTGGCTGCATCTCTCCTAGACCCTGTTCAAGGGCTGACTGTGTCTAAGGAAGGGTCTCTTTCTGGAGATTGCTCTCTTTGGAGTTTTTTTTTTTTTGCAAGCCTTGGACACAGGTGAGCATTTTCAATTATCCCTTTCTGCTGTGATAATCTTTCTAGTTATACTGTATAAATCTGTAGGTACCAGCCCAACCACACCACTCTGTAAATTTGTTGATTGTACTAGTGGGAAGTTAGTGGAGGGGATAAAGTTAAGAAAGAGATGAGAACAGTCTTGTTTTTTCATTGCAGCTAACCCTGTTCTAGTCAATATGCTGGAGACGTGATACTTACAGGATGAAAAACTGTGGGTTTTTTTTCTTTGCCTCATTCAGCATTCACAGATCTGTTCACATTGCAAACTTTTTTTCTTTTGTCAAACAGTTTGTGTGCTTAATAGTGATGGACTTACAGATGAAAGGAGTTATCCTGAGAGTTGCGTTATGAAATATAACACAAAAGAAAGAATTAGGGTTGCTGAGGAAACTTTTGGTCTGGGATTTATGAGCACTTAATCATTTCACTTGCCAAGATTACCAGCAGCTATTTTCTGTTAAGTCTTAATGATTGTCCATATAATGATGAATAGTAAGCCTTACTTATAGATGTCTTGACATGTCCTGTGAGCTATGATCATTATGTGGAATGAATTTCTTGAGAGTTGTACTTGTTTGTGTGCACATTTATCTACAAGTTCATAAAAGGACTTCTATGGGTGATATAAGAAATCCAAGTTTATAATTGGAGAGCTGGTCTACAGGAATTGTAACTTGAAGTACTCACTCTTGCATGCATAGTCTGAAGTAGAGAAAGAATTTTCATGTAAACTGACTTATGTTCATAGTTGATTAGCCGTGTTCCAAAATAAATATTCAGAAATCTCAGTGAGGTCAAACTGTACATGGTTTTTACAGTGCTACTTAAATTAAAGGCGATGCAAAAATGGGTAAAACAGAGGCAGACAATTTTCAGTGGTATTCAGTGGAGGGAGAAGAGGTAACTGGGCCAAAAAAGAAAACAGGAAATTCCAAGTACTCATAAAGAGAAGCTTTTATTATTATTAGAGAAGTGGTGAGACTTTGATTCTTGAAGATACTCCACCTGAACAAGGCCTTGAGCAGCCTGCTGCAATTGACTCTTAGGGGTTAGGCTAGATGGTCCCCAGAATCCCCCAGTAATTCTATGGCTGTATGAAACTTGGAAGTGGCACTATCCTTATCTTCAACACTTATTCCTAAAACTTTAAAAAAAGAAAAACAAAAACATCTTGCTATCACTTACGTATTCTAAATAGTACATAAAATTTTTTCTTTGAATTTTTTTGGACACATGCACTTACAGAATGTGCATTATAAGACAGTTTGCATTCACTGTTGTCCACGCGAGGCTTTTAATTCAGTTTTAGTGTATTTAGCATAGTGACGTGTTTCATGTGTACTTTTCTTGTATCCATATCTTTGCAGGTTGTTGTATCTGCCTTTATACTGCAGCAGATTTGCTTGACTATCAGTGAAAGTGTTTTTTCTTAATGTAACTTTACTTTTTGTTATGCCTATAGGAAATCTGGTTATTAGTTTCAGGCTTGAATGATGAGTAAGCTATGGCCTGGCAGCATGGAATATAGCTATTTTAATGTAACCATGACTATGCCCTATATTACAGGTCTCCCTGCTGGAGCGGGAGCTAGAGCAAAACTGTAAAGTTGATTATCTGGTTAGAATTTGTCCTGGTAAAACTTATGGTTTTGTTCATTACAGAAAAGAAGATATCAATCCTAAGAATAAAACTTACGTCGGGGAAGACAGAAAGGATATGGTCAACTGGCTGAATAAATATATTTAATAGAATACCAAGTGACTAATTTATAACCTAATCATATAATAGAGTGTGGAGACTTTCAATAGCACATCTTGGAGAACTAGAAATTATGTTATTTAGAAAATAGAAATTACAGAAAAAAGCAAACATACTTTAGCCTTTTTTTTTTCCAGTAGATTGTAACTCCTATCTTGTTATATTAATTTTGAAGTGGTTTTAGATGTCACCTAGCAGTGCTGTGTCTTAATATGCTGTAAAATATTCTCCAGTACTTTGTTGTTCAGCTTAGTAATTAAAACAAGTTATGGTAGTGGTAATCTGTTTTTATGCTATGGCCACTGTTCATTTAAGTACCATGTAAACCATAGGCCCAAAATTTAGAGACACCAATTGATTCTTTGGTGGCGATCGTGTTGAGTTTCAAGGCTTCTTTGACCAGTACGTCAGTGTCAGGTATGTATTTAACAAGTTTAGGAATTAAAAAGTATAATACAAATTCCAAACATCACACTGTTGTGTCTTACAAACCCTCACTGCTGCTTAAAGAAGGAATGCTCAGTGTTTTTTTGCATAATGCATCTTGTTACGTAACTTTCCCTTAATAGAGCAAAAATCCTTGCATTGCAGCAGCTCAAGATTGCATCTCCCTCAGCCTCCAGCAGCGCCTGCTCAGGGAATTCTCCCTCTTGCTCCATGTCCTAACAGGCAGCAATGTAGGGATTTCCTGAGCTGAATCTTGCCACTGGGCTGTTGTGTTGAACAACCACTGGTGACTTACTCTCTGTGAATTTGCCAGTCCTGTTTTAAATCTGCTTACAATGTTGACCTCTAGCGCATCCCACGATGGGGACTTCCACAGTTTAGTTATGCCCTATGGGGTGAACATGTGTGCTCATTAGTTTGCAGTCAGCTGCCTAGGATCTTCACCGGATGTTGTCTCTTTTCACCTTCTCAGTACTATTAACATAAACTGTTGTGTGATTTAGGGCGAAGAGAATGTAATTTAAAAAAGCTTTAACTTTTGTCGTGGCAATCTCTCACATTAAACATATAATCAGAGAAATATACATTGTAGCGTTTCACTTAAAAATGATATCAACAATATTAAATGACCATCTCACAATGGGTTTTTAATTTCTTTTGCTTGCTTCAATGAACATTTCTCCCCTTTACTTGCTTCTGGCGGCTGTCCATCTTTCCCAAAGGGAAGACTGTAGAGTTGGCTTTGAGTCTTCAAGGAGAGCACTAATTTTGGCATGCAATTGCTTAAGTGTTGCTTTTGATAAGATACCATCTGTATGTAATACATTGATAACACATCTTTCTTCCAGGACAAGATTGTAGAGTGGCAGTTCGTTGTGTCTTAATTACCCCAGTATGAAAACTGGCAAACACCAAATTCAGTTGACTTCTTTTCACATTAAAAGATTATCTGTTGTGTGAGAGGGTGATCAGGTCATGCTTTTAGAGAATTGCAGCAATTCATAAATATTGACTTGTGAAGTAAAACTAATACTGTGACTAAGCTGTAGGGGGGAGGAAAAAAAACCTTGAGAGACAGTGTTAGCTCGAATTTGAGAGAATAAATGCAAGTTACTACAAGTACAGCCAAATCTTCATGATAAAACTGCAGATCACTGGAATTCTAAGATCCAGAATTAATGTGTACATGGAGAGATCATGAGCTGTAAATAAAAAAAAAAACAAAAACAAAAACTAGAATGCATTGTCCAGCAAGGAACTCAGAACCAGCAGGAAATCAAAATAAAACCCATTAAAATTCTAAGGTTTGGTGTTAATATTAAGGCAATGGAGAATAGTTTTACGTATAGAGTTTCCATAGGCACAGTGTTGCAGTTCATGGGCTAAAAAACTCCGATGGAGAGGAGGATCTGTGCAACACTGCTCCTAGGGATGATTTCAGCTGCTTATTTACTTCACATTTATTTTATTAATGTTTTTTGAAGAAGGTGGGGAGAACCCAACACTGTGTGCTGTGTAACAATATGTGGGGACACCCCCCCTCCCCCAAAGAAGACTTCCCAAATAACTGTTTTTTGAATATTATGACTTCATAGTAGATTTCTTTGTTCTGTTGTTTTTTTGTTTTTTTTTTTTCTCCCTTCATTTTAAGAACTGTAAACAAATAATAGTGATAAAATTATTTAGAACATGGGAAAACAGCTTACGCATGAGGACCAAATGGTAAGCCAGGTCACTTTTCCAAGACAGAAGTGAACTTGGTGATATATTTTTCAGATGTGCTTCTGAGAAAACAGTTTTGATCATGAATATTCTAAAAGCTCTTTAGAGAATAAACCAAATTATCCATAAAAAGATCAGAAAATTCCAGTTTCTTACAAAGGTATACAAGGATGAGAAAGGGAGTCATCTCAAAAGAAAAATAAATATTATAACACATCCAATGATATGATAAGAATGTATCAGCATTTTAAGCCTTTATTATAATATGTAGAACAACGTACAAAAGTGTAACCCTTTTACGTTTTACTTGTTCTCACCTTCTTCTTATGCTGTACTCTGTCTTGTACAGAGCTTTGAAATGATTTCTCTGTGTCACTGCCTCACCCTGCTGATGATTTAGCATTTCTCTATCACCAATGAATAAACAGTTTGAGGGACCTCACCCTGCTGATGACTTAGCATTCCTCTATCATCAATGAGTATATAATCTGAGGGAATAAAAACGTCAGCATAATACTTGAGTGATATTAGCCTAATCTTTGAAAACAAAGGAACACCCTTAAAGAAAAGAAATGCTCTAAATGGATTGCTCAGTTAAGCAGGCATATTTCCTAAGTGTTCTTAATGCTGTTTTGTACAAGCTACAAGGAACATTTCATATTCAGACATAGCATGACTTGCCCCAGTAGCAAATCCTGCCTGTCCTTAAGTAAAATGAAAAGCCTTAAAAAAAGTGAAATTTGACTGTTGGTGCTATGTGCAGATAAGGGCAGTGACTGACGTAACTCCTGTCTGAAGAAACCTGATCTTGGTTCTCACTCCCTGCACTCTGAGTTAGCACTTTCTCCACGCTCCTGTCCAGTGCCTGCCGTCCCTGCTGCGCGCTGCAGTTTGGCTCTGCCACCTCGTACCTTGGTTGTGCTACAGGTAGGCGTGGCTAGTTGTTTATTTCTTTAATTTTCACTGTTTTACCTTGTGAGAATCATAAAGCAAGTGCACACTGAGGGAAGACTTAACGTGTCTGGGGAAACTGCACGTTATCCATGTGCCTTTGTACAGAGTTCATGCTCACTGAAAGGCCACCAGGGTGCTACTTCTTCCCTAACTGTTCCAGATAGTGGTTCAGAAGGGCTTTGCTTTCCTTTTCAAGGTGATGAAGACTGTTCAGAATCAGGACAGCCTCTTGAAAGCAGAAGAAAGCTGTGCAGCACTACCTTTATATTTTTCTAGTTGTAGGTTCAGGTTGTTGACAGCTGAAGTTGCTGTTTGGTCTTGAAGTGCTCAAGTGCTTGGAAGTGGGGATGGGGAATGAGAAAGAGCACAGTGATGGCGGTGGGCTCACAGCTCCTCCCAAACTGCCTCTGTTGACTATAAAGCAGGGGGATTTGTTTTGGAGAAAAGTTTCAATAGCATCCTAGAAATGCAAAAAGAAAATACTTGTATATAGCACCTATTGGAGCAAGTGTAGAAACATAATCCAAACGGATCAGTGTTACAAAGCTTGCAGGCCTATGTGGCTGATGCATCATAGGAGCCTCCACAGCACTGCACAGCCTTGAGCTAGGAGCTCTTCTACCTGCATCTGAACCCTTAAATATTTAATATTTTACATTTAATATGCTACATTAAATCTATCAGACAACTTCATTAAAAATGTACGTGATTAAAGCCTTTCAGGATACACGTAACTGTAGGGCATAGCACTTGCATTTTTCTGAAACTTTTTTGAAGTTCCAAAATGTGCTTCTTTACTATTCAATTGATCTGGTTTTGCTTTCTGATTTTAGTTTAATAAAACAGAAACAGTTTGTGGAAGGGAAAATACTTATCAACTTCTTCTATTATATGTTTATACTGTATTTTGGTTTATAAACCTGTCTATTAATTCATTTTTTTTCCAGGCAAACTTATTTTAAATTAGGTTTCATATATACATATGAGAATACAGCATGGGGGAGGGGGGGGGGGGGGGAACGTCAGAAACCTCTAGGGGGGTGTGGCTTAGACTTGCACGCATGTTTGCTGAGGGTAATGCACCTTTCAAATAGTGTACAGCTAGTGAGATCTTGTGAGATGTGCTAACTCATCTGAGATCATTGGATTTCTGAATATTCTGGACCACTGCAGATCTGGCTGTAAAGTTGGTTGGCTGTTGGTAGCCATCCCATTCATGCCACTACGATTGAAGTCACCCTAGTTCAGAGAGAGGTCTGTAACCTGCTTTCTCCCATTTCTCTCTGTGAGTGTATTTGGCACAGTCAGGATGAACCGTTCTTGTTTGTATACCAAGCAGTTTTTTTTCTTACACAGTGCTCCCAGGCTTTGCAGTTTGTACGGGAAGAGTTCAGGCAAAGCTTAATCTACATTCTCTCAAAAATCTTGAACAATTTTGAGATGATCTTCACATATTAAGGCAACTTATGTGAGTCATTTCGTAGCAATCTGGAGTCAGTTCACCCAGGTGGTTGGACTAAGATCAGTGTCATAAAGTCATTAACTTATGGTGAAAAGAAGCTACACAAACACTGTTAATTCCTGTTGGTGTTTTTTGACCTTTGTGAATTACTAGTTTTTTTTCGTTTAAGCAATAGCTAGTAAAAATTTAATGGTAAAAATTTAACCATACCCTTATTGTTCCTTTGTTTGTAAAATATTTGACTCAATTTCAGGAATTTTTCCTTACTGTATGGGAACTGCTGAGTCACGGCCTGAACCTCTGATTGATCACCTGAGGCGAGCCACGAGTCAGCCAGAGGAGCACAGGTGAAGGCAATTCAGCTGTGCTGCCAGAAGGGGTGGAGCCTGGCTCCATCCCTCCTAGACCTATTTAAGAGCTGGCTACCAGAGGGGAAGGATCTCTTCTGGAGATCACCCCTCTTGGTGTCTTCTGGTGAGCTCAGCCGAAGGGTAAGCTCTTCCACTAATTCTTTTTTGTGATCGTTGTTTACTTTGCCTAATTCTCTTGATTATATTGTAATTATAACATCTTGATATCTATTGATTATACATTTATATTGTAATTATAACATCTTGATTATACACTTACATTCAGGTTTTTTTCCTATCTTGGAGTTAAAACTAATTCCTTTTAATATTAACTAAATATGTTTATGCACTCTGGTTACCACTGAGTATATTTTTATTTGCAAACCCCTTAAGTTTCCTTCTTCAAAATCTGCAGAGAGAGGATTTCTTGACACTGAAAAGGTCTGCCATAGAAAATCAACTTTTCTAGAGGAAAATACTGCATGTAATATAAATCTAATTGTTTTTAATATGCTAGTTGTTTTAATTCCTTTTACTTTTTTTGATCCTAAGCCCTGTATTAAGCCTTTACAGTCTATGATAGAGTGTTACACATCCATATGATGAAGGGTAAAAGATTTGGCTTTATCCCTATTTTAATTATTTGTGACGGTTGCCTGCCTGGTTGCCCTTTATTATTGTAGGGTGCACAAGTTCAAGCTATGTACCAGATCCCTGTGGAAGAACTGATAACATAAGCAGCTCTAATGATATTATTATTATGAAAAATAACCCAATTTGCTGATTGACCCATGTATTTATTATTTTTGATCAGACAGCAGTGGGTTTGTTCACAATGTCAGTGAAGGGATTAAAAAGTTCACCAGTCTGTGACACCACTGTATTTGGTCTTTTTCAGCGTGCTGTGATATTCACCCCTGAGTGTTCTGTTTTTCCTGGGTGGCATTCCAGATGGCGAACGAGTTAAGGCCCTGTCCATGTGACATTGGAGACAGATTTGATTATGGCGGCCGTGGGCAGGAAGTACAAGTGGAGCACATCAAGGCCTATGTCTCCAAACCCTCCACCAGCACAGACAAAGCTGTGATTGTGATTCATGACGTATTTGGATGGGAGCTCCCAAACACGAGATACATAGCCGATATGCTAACAACCAATGGATACGTGTAAGAAATCCTACACTTTGCAAAGTGTCTTTTTAATGAGAAAGTCAGGTTGCGTTTCCACTTCCTTTTCTTTATAAGCCATAGAAATATAAGCAATTTCATAGGTTTCAATTAATGAATCTCCTGTTTGCTAAAGCACTGTAAGAATGTTGTTGAGCAGTCCTACCATATTGAGGCAGTATGCAAGTACTGAAAAGAAGGGGAGGAAGGAGGGGAGGGGTAAAAAGAACCAAGAAAAGCCTTATTTTGAATCTTTGACTGGGTGACTGAAATGCTTCTGTGAGCCTGACACATCCTGCTTCATAGCATGCTTGCATGTTTGCTGTTTTGGCAAAAAATTTCAGGGAAGCTGAAAGTAATTCTATGGAAACGAAGTGTACAAGCTTGTACCAGACAAAGAAACAAGGTCTCAGATATGTGAAAGCATCCTGGATATCCTCTTCTCTGTGTTATTGCATTATCATTCCTTCTAGCCCTAATGAATGAACCCTGTAAATTATAGGCGCTCGCTCTTTTTTTTTTTTTTTTTTTTCTTCTATTTTGATAGGAGGCCACTAAGGACTTCCAATTGCAATTTAAAATGTGTCAAATTAGTTAATGGATTTTAGCAGGGCAAAATTATTATTTAGCAGGGCAAGTTAGGCTGTCTGTGCTTCTTAGACAGAAAAACAATGGAGGTTGCTTGTGTAATGTTTTGATGGAGATTAAATTCTACGTGTATTCAAGAAACCAAACTTGCTGTAGCACACACAGACTTCCTTTTAATCCCTTTTTAGTGTTATGTCATGAGCATAAACTGTTTTTATTTTTCCTACAGAGCCATCCTGCCAG